ATTGATAGAATTACTTTCATCTATTTTAAAAATTGTTAAAAACTATATTTTTAAATCAACGGTCCGAATTTTGACAACACTGGTGTTGCCATGAAAAAGTCTATACAAGCAGTTTAATTCTAAAATCCAAGGATCCGCAATCAACTATTGTCATTTTATATGTACATATTATAATCATATATTTTGTTATTTCCTAAAGTCATTTGTTTTGAATCTTTTGATATTATGGTAGAAATACTTCCAAAATAAGTAATTTAATTATTATATAAAAGAAAAACCTTATTTATTTTGACATTATGGTAGCAAGTAGAAATATTTGATTATTTATACTTTAATCAATAAAAAATTAATTCATTTTAAAACTTGTATACTTACAAGTAAACTTACCTTTATGTATTATACATTTTCAAAAACTTACCATGTCCTATTTCAGTTCTTTCCTTCTGCATTCAGGCTTCAAAATAGCCGTTAAGAAATAATTACCATATATCGTATTTGCTTTCCTATTTCAGTTCCACAATTTACCAATCCCAATTCCTCACGTATTCTCTCTTTCTCTCTCTCTAAAACGGGACGTAATCCAACACAAGTCTTAAGTTCTTGTAGTCTCAAGAAAGAAGAATTATGGCCTACTTTCCTCCACAAATTCGAAGAAATTTTGGGTATCGAACTTTTGTGTAGTGCCCCGAAAATTTTCATATAATAGAATTTAATTTTGTAAGCTATATCTTAATATTTTGAAAAGTTAGGGACTAGAATGATATATAGCAATTTCATTTTTTATTTGGGCCATATATTTAGATTTTTGACCAAGTATGATAAGCATACGAATATTAGGCTCGTTGGATAGATTGTAATTAATTATGCATTTAGGCTCGAGAAAAAGTTAATTTGGATTAACGGAGCCCAAGTTATCGAAGTCGAAAGAATTAGCCTTAAATAATATTTTATATTAAATGAATTTAAATGTTATGAGAGTGANAGCCCAAGTTATCGAAGTCGAAAGAGTTAGCCTTAAATAATATTTTATATTAAATGAATTTAAATGTTATGAGAGTGACACGTGTAAGATTGGTAAGATATTATTTAGGATTGGTTTTATAGTTCACGTGTGGGAGTTTGTTGAAATGGTTAAGTAATAGTTATTATTATTATTTTTATATTTTAGTGAAATACTTCCTAACTTGCCAAGTGTCCTACGAAGAGGTTGGTTGAGATAAGTCACCTTAAATGATAGAGACGTGTGCATGCAACTTACCATTTTCTACACCTTCATCTCACACATTTCCCACAATGTACCAACTCTCCTATAATTTCCTATGTATCACATGATAGAATTGACACAAAAAATATATACGCACATTCACAGCACAAAAGCATAGGCAGAAAAAGGAATTGTTGGAACTTGATTCTTGTTTTGTCTTCCAAAATTAAAGCAAGTNACAAAATAAACTTTCAAAGCACAAAAGCAGAGGCAGAAAGAAAGAAAGGGGAACGTGATTTATTTGTATTGTCTTCCAAATTAAAGCAAGGTTAACAAGGTAGGAAAAGAGGTGCAATTGTTTATCCCGTTTAAATTATTTTCCTTTCACGTTGATGAAATTTTATACTTATGAAAGTTAAAAATATGATATTTTATGATGTGATGTTATGGCCATTCCGATACAAATGATATGATATAAACTCTTACCGGTTTCTAAAGATATGATAACGGCATTATTTTTCTTAATGCATGATTTAAATATTTTATTCGAGATTGCACCATATTTTTAAGTTCCTACTGAGTATTCCCATGTACTCACTTTTTCCCTACTTCACACAGGTTAGATCGGGTCGTTGGTCTGTGGACGATGATGTGCAATCGTGGTGCCGGGATTTTTAAGACTAAAGAGAAATAATTCGGTGTAATATGTCAAGACCTATTTATTTTTAGCACATGCTTTTGCTTTATTGTTCTGGATATCTTATTTAGGACTTGAACATGTTTTTTTATTTAATTAGGCATTTTCGTATGGGAACTGAAAATCCAATGATCTATTATTGTTCATTTGTTTGCTAGCTGCACATGGGTAGTCAATGTGGTTGAGTTGTCATTTGATGAAATTTTAATTGCTCAGTATTGTACTATTATTGGACATGACAGAGTAAATTAAATTCTTTCAATCGTGTGCATTTATTCAGAATATATTTGACAATATTTTAAGGGTGCTAGGACAACTTTAATAATGAATTGTTTTTATTTTAAATTATAAATCATTACACAACTTGGATCAGTCACGTTGCACTTGGAAATTTTCAGAAATTCATGTAACTCCATCGATAAGTCTCAACATGGGTGTCTCATTGGTGATTTTCAACAGCTTGAGACAATCGTTAAATTCATCGGCAATTTTCAGTGAACATGAATTTCTGTCAGTAAATTTATCCACAGAATTTTACTTGGCTTTAGTGGCTGAAAAACTCTTTTATTTTGTTTTCATGTAGTGAGAAACACAAAAGTGGATGAAGAACACACGACCATAAATCATTGATTTAAACTTGAGCATCGAGAATCGATAATTATCACTCGATGATTTAAATGATTATTGAGAATTAATTAAAATCAAGATCTATACTGACGAATATTATTATTATTTGCATAAGAAAAAACTCTAGGTTTTATAAAATTTTATCGAAATTTTATACTAATCTTCTTAACCAAAACAACCTCCATGATACTAATTAATCTAAATCAATAAAACCCTCGATAAATTTGAAACGCAGCAAAGCATAAATAATTAAATAGAAAAACTGTCTATCGTTAATAAGGATTTGTTTGACGTGACTTTTAAAAAGCCGAAAACTACTTATTCTGTCAAAGAAGAATATCAGCTATACTTGATTCCACTAAAGCAGCCTTAGACAAGGTCTATCTAATCACCTTTGACTAAACAACCCACACATTGAATTGTTATCCCTTAAAGCTTAATCCTAGCTAGCCCAATAACCAGTTTTCTCTTATTTCACTGTCTCGATAAATAAGAGCCCAGTTAACTAGGGTTTTCCAACACGCCGTATATACAATACACTCTCCCCGACATTTACGTTTTTCTTGTTACCCTCTTTCTCGTCGCAAAGACGTACACACAGAAGAGTTCGTTTGTTCTACACACTTTTCATCACACAGAACCCAGGAGCCATGTTTTCCCCGAGTACAGAACACACAGTTCATTTCATAATTGAGATTTGGGTTTCAGATATCTTTATTTCGTTTTTAACTGTCTATTTGTTTCATTTGAGATTTGAGTGATGATTTTTTCAATTTTGCATCAATGTTTTTTTTTTGTTTTTTTCTTGTGTGTGTTTCTGGGCTCAGGGGAACCATGGCTCCTAGGACAGTGTTGATTATATTGACTGGAAGATTTAAGGGGAAGCGTGTTGTTTTCTTGAAGCAGCTTGCTTCTTGATTGTTGATTGTTACTGATTAGTCTCCTTTTATATAATATCTTTAGCATTCTTAACTAGTTCTATGTGATGTAAATATTGTTGCTAAGTTCTTATATGTTGAGAGAAAATAGATATGCACTTTGCCACCCCCAACTATATCCCTACGTCAAGATAAAAAAAATTGAATTGTGGGTAGAAAATGTAAGTGTTATGCCCTACACCCAATCGATTTAGGTTATAAACA